AGGCTCCTCTGTCCATGGGATTTTCCCAGCAAGAATACTGGAGTGGGTTGCCATTTCCTTCTCCAGGGGATCTTCCCAACCCAGGGATCAAACCCAGGTCTCCTTCATTGCAAGCAGACCCTTTACCACCAGGGAGTGGCCCTGGGAACATCTTAAAAATTTTCACATATCAATCAAAAGTAACTTCAATTAAAATTAAAATAATAAAAGTTAACCAAATGTCCTGTGGTAAAAAAAAAAAAGAAAGAAAGATAAAACTAAAATAGAATTGATATCTCTCAAAGTCAGTGATAAGCTATATGAATCATAACTGGAAGTCTAAACTGAAATCATATAAATCAGATGTATTATTGCCTTAACTCACCCACAGATATTAGGAAATAATCAGTGTTAAAATTATAATTACATTCTTTGTGAAGTATTAAAACATTTGTTGTTAACATATGAACTAATTATATTGTTACAGAAAATGTTTAACAGGTGATTGATACACATAATAATTATTACCACATAATTAAGCATTATCTTATAATAGAGCTAGATATAAATTTATTCCTTACAAACTAAAAGTACTTAATAGCTGTATTAATTAAAGGCATACATTATGAAAAATAATTCACATAATAATTTTGAAAATAATATTAAACTCTCATCTCAACATAAATGTCTTGCCTTTAATTGTTTAAATGAAAATGAATAATGAGTGAATAAATGAATTTATACTTAGGTTTTTAAAATGTAGGATATCATTAATATTAAAAATACTTCATTTAATTACACTGAAAGTCAGTTATAATAAATTGCTTAAAATTGAAGGTATGGTAAAAATGAGAAAAAGGCAAAGAAAAAGCTAAGGACTGAAAAAAAAAAATCTTTTGATGACAAGTATATATATATATATCAAGATCAGTCTTTCTTCACTGTGAGAAATGCAACCTCCAAAATTACCACTTTTATATTTTGATATAAGTCTCACTAGTAGTAGTAGCAGCTGGTAAAATCATAGTATCGTATGACTGTTGATTATTTGAAATGAGTGAGAAATAAATAAGTGATCTCAGATAAACTATCAAGATGCCTGCATGCAGAGATGGCCTAAAATGAGAAACTCTTATTTCAAGTTCACTTCCATAACCCCATTGCAGATCTCAATAAACCCATCAGTACAATTAAGAAGGAAGTGGTATCTGTCAACTATACTTCGATATAAAATCAAAATTTTAAAAAGGCAGAAGTGGCACAAGTGAGGTAAATGTAAGTGCAGGAGCCCCAGTCAGACTGCAGACAGTTTGAATGTGAACACAAGGACAACAGCATTTTGGTACAGATGTCCTCTAACCCTTCCCTCCCCGACCCCCGCTCCTGCTCTAGCTCCCTGCCCCATCAAGCACTTAATCGCCATCATTCTCTCTTCCCTCTCTCACATGAAATATCTGCTGAAACAAATGGCTTCTCTCCCATTATTGCAGGTATAAACTGACCTAGTGGAATTCCTATGGGACAGCATACAAAGCCTGAAGAAAGTTTATCAATCTTACTTCAGAGTGGACGTGAGCAAATTGGTTATAATCTCTGCAATGTCAACTCCCAAGATACTCAACTCAATCAACTGGGAGCTGGCACGAGCTGTAACCTGCAGTACTTCTATATGCTGGGTAGTCAGGGGATGGTCTAAGTTTTCAATAGGAAGCACTAAGTCATCACTGTGGCAAGGTGCACTTTCTTACTCTGGATTTTCTAAACATTATAAAAAGTCACAGAAAAAAGCAAAACCATATATCCTCAGTAACAAAGACAATGGGAAGAATCAGAATCCTTATTACATATTCTTACAAATCAATGCAATAAAAACAAATACCCCAAGAGGAAGAAATTTTACAGTGTACCTTACGTGATCCTTTTTGATCCCTGTCAAGGCACAGAGATGAAGAAGGGCACAGCAGAATGTCAGAGAATATGATCAATAATGGGAGGCACCTCACTATCACATCCATGTCAGAGAGCACTCTGGATTTACATATAGATATTAAAGTGAAAGTGAAGTTGCTCAGTCATGTCTGACTCTTTGCGACCCCGTGCACTGTAGCCCACCAGGCTCCTCCGTCCATGGGATTCTCCAGGCAAGAGTACTGGAGTGGGTTGCCATTTCCTTCTCTAGGGAGTCTTCCTGATCCAGGGATTGAACCTGGGTCTCCTGAATTGCAGACACACGTTTTAACCTCTGAGCCACCAGGGAAGCCCCATATAGATATTATATAGAGACAAAATCAAGTCAAAGAAAAACAAAATTTTGTTAAACACAGTAGCAAAAACTAATTGGAAGACACTAGATGCAAGCTGGGGGCAATTAAGCTCAAAGCGTATTTCGATACATCCTTCTAAATCTGTCAGATTTTTTTCAAGGATACTTTCACATGTGGTGACTTAAGTAAAATCACTGATGGAGAGATGCACAGGCTTTAGTCATCGGTTTCACTTTCTAGCTCACATCCAGGTTTCCTTCCATTTTCAACAGGTCAAGGTGATGGAATTCCACCTGAGCTATTTCAAATTGGAGTGTGGAAGAAGACTCTTGAGAGTCTGTTGAATAGCAAGGAGATCAAACCAGTCAATTCTAAAGTAAATCAACCCTGAATATTCATTGGAAGGACTGATGCTGAAGCTCCAATACTTTTGGCCATCTGATGCAAAGATCAGACTCATTAAAAAACACCCTGATACTGGGAAATACTCAGGGCAAGAGGAGAAGGGGGTGACAGAGGATGAGATGGTTGGAGGTCATCAGCGACTCAATGGACATGAGCAAACTCTGGGAGATAAGGAAGGACAGGGAAGCCTGGTGTGCTATAGTTCATGGGACAAAGAGTCTGACACAACTTAGTTACTGAACAACAATAACGTAACCAACTGGTTGTCTAGTTGCTCTTTGATCAATACAGATGGCAAAGGTTCACTGGGCAGTGTATTAAGGCCCCAAGAACCAAAGGTTCATCAAGAGCTGGGTCTGGGTGGGCCAAGGACCAGTTAAAACTGAATATAACTCAGTGGGAGGTTATTTAAACTCTTTGTAGGAAGGTTGCTAGGTTAGATGACTGGATGGCTATGGGTTATCCAGAATATTCTGCTTCCTCAGACTCTCCTTTCCTTCCATTCATCCATGCTTGAACCTCCCTTTATTAACTTGTGCTCCATGTCCTTCTCCAATTATTTTCATTTTTTGATTAGTTTTATTTATTTATGACTGTGCTTAGTCTTCACTGCTGTGCAGGCTTTTTTCTAGTTGTGGCAAGTGGGGGCTACTCTCTAGTTGCAGGGAGCAGGCTTCTCTTGTTGAGGAGCACAGGCTCTAGGGCATATGAGTACACATGTTGTCGTGGCTCCAGAGCTCGAGAGCATAGGATCAATAGCTGTGGTGCATGGGTGAGTTGGCTTCATGGCATGTGGGATCTTCCCAAATCAGGGATCAAACCAGTGTCTCCAGGTGGATTCTTTACCACTGAGCCACCAGAGAAGCACCCTTCAATTACTTTCAAGCTTAGAAAAATTTTGCTCAATCGAAAGTACTTCTTTGATATTCACAATTTCATCATTTTCATGAAGATTTTCAGGGCTAGGGTGATGAGAATCCCCAGATCATCTTGTCTAAATACATAACCCAAATCAATTCTTCAATAATTTTCTTTGTTTTATTTTGTAAATTACCATTGTCAAAGGGGAATAGAGAGGGGAAAGTGAGAAATAAAATTGTTACTCTGGCTAAAGAGAAAGAGAATAGAAAGAGACAGGGAGAGAGGGATGGAGTGAGTGTGTGCATGTGTGTGTGTATGTGTGTGTATAAGATAGCAGACTTGGAAGGTGCTTTCAAGTTTACAATGTTCAGCTCTATCCACAGAGGCATCTTGATTTAGAGAAAAATATACGGAATTTGGAATCTTAAGACCTGATTCTAGATTCCTTCCAGTTCTGCTTTTGGCACTAACTTTGAGAGCCAGAGAAAACCACATAGCCCATGTGTTTTAGTTTGCATGTCTGAATTCTCATCTGCATTTGCACTGTGAACTTGCATAATGTTACGATGCTCTAACATCATTATATACATCAAAGCCATAGCACTATGAAGTTTCTAAAAATGTCCAACAATCAATAAACTACACCACTACTGTTCTCATTAGCAAGTATTTTTGCGCAACGTGTCTCCTTCCACCAACTACAATCCTGTTATTACCTCTCCCTAGCTTTTTTTTGTTTGTTTTCAGAAAGGTGGGGTGCTCTGTGCTTCATGGTAAACACTTTGGGCAAATTATTGTCCTATAATTTGATCCATCACTTCAAGACCTTACAGACTTAGGCTTCCAAGAAGACAAATAAATGGTGTTTAAAATTCTTACTAATCTATAGGCCAGCTTAACATGAATCCTCATTAATCTCTACCTTTTCTTTGTGACAGAGGTTATCTGGTTAGAATGCTCTGAATTTATTGTTTGAACTAGAATAACCAGTCTGGAAGGAAATTAGGTCCTCAGTTCAGTTCAGTCACTCAGTCGTGTCTGACAATTTTCGACCCCATGAATCACAGCACGCCAGGCCTCCCTGTCCATCACCAACTCCCAGAGTTTACTCAAACTCATGTCCATCGAAATTAGGTCCTATATATATTCAGAAGTCAAAATGACGCTCATAGAAGTGATGCACTTGTGTCTTTACCGAACTGTTGCGCTCCTCTGAAGTCACAAGGTAACCACTCATACTCCTATCATGCTCTGAGACCCATCCAGGAGTATATACGTACACTAAAACATTTGATTGCTGTTATCATATGATGCTCTTAGTATATTTGATAACAACAAATATGAAATGCACATTTTGATATACTATAGACTCTGGAAGCAAATTATTACTGATTTTGACCCAAATTCCATAATAAGTGAAGATGATGCAAACAGAGGCTATATATATATATATATACATATATAGATATTCACATATATGTGAATACTTACTGTATTGACAATTTCTTCCCATGAATTCCCCTGGGCACTCACAGGAATAGTTAGCAACAAGGTCTGTACATATCCCACCATTTTTGCAGGGCTCAGCTTCGCATTCATTTATATCTGAGGAAAATAGGAAGAAGAGAGAAAGAGAATTATTGGTGAAAAAAGGTAGATTTTTAGAAGGTTTTAGGTATTTCAAATAAGAGAAGGTCTAAATAATGTTGTGTGTGTATGTCTCGTCAATAATATAATCAGTGCTTGCAACAGACAATTTTTTAACAATCAAACTAAGTCAAGTTCAAATGGAATTGAGAATCCAAACCCAACAGAACTAAAACACTCTCTAATCCTGAAAATAAACATGACTAGTTGGGGAAATATTCAGTATATCCTTAGAATTAAATCAAACAAATTAACCCTGATCGAGAAATGAATTGGTATCACTTACAAGATCTAGAAACCTCCCCAGCAGCAACCACTGCCAATTAACACTGTCTCATTTCATCTTAATTCATTAAAATTCTGACTGACAGAGATGTTTTAGTTTCTAAATAGTTCGCCTTTGATGAATGCAATGAGAAGCAAATTAGAGTTAATAGCTAAAGCTTGTTACATGCAAAGTATAATAAATGTAAATGATGATCATTTCCTAATTTCATTCAAGGGTTTCTAAAGTTAGGATGACTAAAGGGATGTACCTTTGATATACTATTATTATACTTGATGAAAAATCATATGATATGTGAAACATTCAGCAAATTATACTAAATTCCAAGCTAATTTTGGATAACAGGGACAGTAAATGGGATTTTGAACAAAAAAAAAGGAATAATGATGAACTCAGTGAAGTATCAATCACCAATATTTGCACATCATTTCCTCTAAGCACAGCGCTGGGTTTGGTTCTGTGGGAACTAGTAAAGTAATTGGAGGACCTACACAGCTCTGCACTGCCTTCCCTCCCTATCATCTGTTTCAACTGAACACCTGCTCTGCTCCTATTCCAACAACCGCTTCTTACATACCTAACTGCTCTTCCTTAGGAATTGTCTGTCTGTATGCCTTTCCCTCTCACAGTCAATCTGTGAACTTTACAAATGCAGGCCCTGTCCAGTACTGTTCTCTGTACCCCCTAAAATGTCACACACTATCTAGAAGACCACTAGTGCCCAGTAAATATTGCTTGATCAAATATCTAACAAAATAGTGGTGCAATCTGAAGAAAATTATTTCAGATGTGCAATATGTCTTCTGATAAACATATCAGAAGCTATTCTAAAGTTCTGGGTTTTCACGGTGCTTAAAACAATAAGATCATTAAATTACCCTCTCAATATTAAACAAGGACAAAATATTAGAAAACCTCTATTTTTCCTTTTCCTTTAACTTCTTTCTTATAAACAGCATCTCCTCCTGGAAGCAGATTTGGTCACCCTCTTATTCTCAGGTTATGGCAAAGTTTGGTTTAAATTTCTTTAGGCAGGTGACCACTTTCATAAAAGATTTCTGGTCCTTTTTGGTTTCTGGTCAACTGCTACCCCTTGAGAGTAGATAATTCATGACTGTGTTCAGAAATAATCTAAATCATTTAAACCACTCCGGAGAGCTCAATCATGTCTGACTCTGCTAGTTCAAGGACGGTAGGGTGCCAGGCTCCTGTGTCCATGGGATTCTCCAGACAAGAATCCTGGAGTGGGTAGACATTTCCTGCTCCAGGGGATCTTTACAACCCAGGGTGGCAAGTGGATTTTTTACCGCCTGAGCCACCTGGGAATCCCATTTTAAGCAAATATAACATCAAATAATAGGATTAAATAAGAATTTGATCATTCTAAGAAACAGCTGTGTACTGTAAAATATAATAGACTCAAATTTTTGACACTAATACTTTCAAGAAAGAGAGGAAGGAAGGAAGGAAGGAAGGAAGGAAAAAACTAAAGAAAGAATATATCATTTATTCATTTTTCTCACCTGATGAAATATTTAGCTCTTTTTTTCCCTCAAAAATTCATCTAGTCTTTATTTATATGGGATGAACATGAAATATATTTTCATTAAATTTTGAAAGTGGCACAGAAATCATTGTGTTATTTATTTTCTTACCTGCTCAGTACAAGGTAGGGGCAATAACTGGCTACTTTGGAACATGCCTAACGTGTCTTTACCTACATTATATCTACGACAATTTGTTTCAGGTGAGGTATGTCAGTGGCTGATAAAAAGTGAAATCTTCACGTCTTAAAGAATACATTGCCTTATTTTGTAAAGTTAGACATAAAAAAGTATTCTTATATATGTGTGTGTGTGTGTGTGTGTGTGTGTGTATACATATATATACATATACCAAGGTGATACTGAATATTAATGTCTGAAAAAGACCACGTAAGGGAAATAAAATTTGATCTTGGACTTGAGGGGAAGTTTCAGTTAGGATTAATAAAAACAGGATGAAGAGGGTATTGTATTAATATTGCCAAGCAGGGATCCAGAATGAGTCACAACCTTGAAGAGGAATATTCATGACACGATGGTGTGTTCAAGTACACCAACAGGAGTTTGTCTGGAGCAGAGAGTGGGAAGGAAGGTGCTAGAAATCAAGTATAGGGATGTAGGTAGGGGCCAGATTACCATGAATGCCCAGTGTCAGCTAAGGGAGACAGGCTTTCTCTTTTGGCACTGAAGACGTGGAGCTGGCTGGGAGGGTAGCTTTTGTACCCTTGTTTCCTAAAAAGACCTAGAAAAGCCACATATGGAATGGACTTAAGAAATGAATGCAGGAAGGCTGCATAGAGACCCACCCAGGATTTGAAGCTAAGGGATACAACATACATTTTAATTTTCATGTAAGAGAATTACCTTACCTGAGTATTTCTCATTTCAATATTGACCTATATCACAAGTAAAATCAAACTCAGCTCTTGCAGCTTTGAAATGTTAATAGAAGGAAATCTTCACAGCTGATGATATGAGACCAATCAAGAGTTATTATATATACTTTTAGGATATGCACACACCATTTTTCTTTGCTTCCTCATTTCTTCTATGTTTTTAAACAATAAGTAGTACTTTACACAGGAGAATGTGAATTTAATTGAGATTAATCAACCTTTGAATTTCTATCTACTTGTTCTTCAGACTGGGTCTACAATCACCAACAATGATGTTAAAATTAACAATATTTGTTTCTAAAAATATAGTTACACCTTTACCCAGGGTTTTAACTTGAGGTAGAATGAACTGAAATGGCATTTGCTGAATAAAAAATGTTTTCTAGCCATTATTCAGTTTGTGATTAAAAAAAAATGACCTTTTACTGTTAATGCATTTTTAAATAAAAATAACTACCTTAACCTAAATTCATAAAATTAAAAACACTATATTGAGTTTCATACTTTAATAAAGTAGCAAAATGAGTAAAACATTTCTATGTACACACCTAGTAACACGTAGGCTCAGATAACAGATGGAAATTACACAGGAGCTTTTATATATCAGTATAATGTAAGAGTTCTTACAGCAGTGAAGGCTATTTGCACAGTGATTAACACTGAAAGCAATCTAAATGGAAACAGATCTCAATTTGGATAAATCATGTTTAATTAAAGACTGGATATAAATATTCACAGAATATAATGTAATGAAATGAAAGTTAAACTCCTTTGTAATAAATCACATACATCTCTCTTTGTCATAGATCATGCCATTACCATTTCCAGAAAAAAGTCCTCATATCTTGGGCTCCAAAATCACCGTGGACCGTGACTGCAAGCATGAAATTAAAAGATGCTGGCTGCTTGGAAGGAAAGCTATGACAAACTTAGTGTATTTAAAAGCAGAGACATCATTTTGCTGACAAAGGTCCATATAGTCAAAACTATGGTTTTTCTAGTTGTCAGGTCTGGATGTGGGAGTTGGACCATAAAGAAGGCTGAGCACCAATAATTGATGCGTCTGAATTGTGGTGCTAGAGAAGACTCTTGAGAGTTCCATGGACTGCAAGGAGATCAAACCAGTCAATCCTAAAGGAAATCAACCCTAAATATTCACTGGAAGGACTGATGCTAAAGTTGAACCTCCAATGCTTTAGCCACCTGATGGAAGAGCTGACTCATCAGAAAAGACTCTGATGCTGGGAAAGACTGAAGGCAAAAGGAGAAGGGGGCAGAGTCAGAGGATGAAATGGATTTGGCATCACAGACTCAATGGACATGAATTTGAGCAAACCCCAGGAGACAATGAAGGACAGGAAAGCCTGGCCTACTGCAGTCCATGGGGTCGCAAGAGTCAGATATGACTTAGCAACTGAACAACACTGAATTTCAAATACACTGAGATATTTTAAAGTATTTTATAACTAAGAAAAGTTTGATACAGCAATTCCATATAAAAATAGGAATTTCCATATTTGGTTACTTTTATAGTTTATTTATAATTATTACTTTTTGAGGTTTTTAGTTCTATGACTGCTTCCTGAGAATTGTTTTTAAAAGTAGCATCATTCAGAGCTAGATTTTATAACACATCCAGCTGAATCCTGATTCCTCACTGAAAACATTAAACTTTGCTGCCTACCTCTAGCTGACTGAAGGACAGTGCTAAGAGTTGAGCACGAATTCCCAGATATAAACTCATGATGCATGTGTGTGAAGAAATTAAAAAACAAAGTAAAGAAAGGAAGGGGAGAAATAGATGAGAGAGCAGATAAATGATCACATATCTTTGAAACAAAAAGTACTCTACACGCGTTTCCAGACCCCTTTTCTATCGTAAATACAAAAACTCATTAGTATTACATGCATAACTTAGTTTCTTTATCTTTACCATTATTTTTCCCTTAGCCCACCTTACACAGATTTGGAAAGGTATGCTGCAGTCTTTCCTCTTAGGATTGGCTTTTTGCTAACAGAAATAATGTAAACCCATGCATTCTCTGGCGGTGTCACTGTAAAGAAGTCTAGTAATTGCAAAACACATATATTCGCTATGATCATTCTGAGTACTCATGAACTTACACACATCTGCATCATGAGAAGTGCTCAGTTACTTCGAGTATTTTTTTCTTGATCTTCGTTAGACCCATCACTGTGCAAAATATAACCCCAAGCCCATGAAATTGACTT